AAGACTAAGCTTAAAAACAAATGACACTGTTCTGTTGTGATTGTATCAAGGAATTTTGAGCAGCACAAACTAATGGCAGGGGGAAAAGGAAGCTGAACAGGAGGAATGCCATGCTGTAAGGTATAGAGTAGAACAAACCAGACCACAGTCCTCTTCCACCACCACCCTCACATGTACCGTTTCTTATGCAAAAGGAGGGAATGTTTAAGCCACTGATTGCAAGGAAGCTGTTGATATTTAATTCTGCATCTAGAACATGATTCAGTCAAATAAATTCTGTCTGACTGTATCTCTCATTCTCAATCTCATTCAGTCAGTTCAGCCAATGCTTCCTGAAACTCTTCTAGAATAAGAAGCACGAGAATGACAGTTTCTCTTACATAGGACTTCATTTGCTAAAGCCTCATAATTTTTTAAATACCCAGGGTTTATGAGGGGGGAACAAGATGTCACCGGCTTCTTTAAATGGGGTGGTGATTGCAAAGTGAGCTGGGAAACGGAAAAGAGGCAGCGGGTGAACATGAGGTAAGCCCAATCAACACTGCTTTAGCAGATGTTTTCAGATTACTGGGCATGTGTGATCAGTCAGAATGTGTATTTCTGATTTCTGAGGTGCTAACTCACTGAACTCGGGGGGTCAATACTGACTCCGAGAGACCCCTGTGGGTTTCCCAGACGGTGACTGTTTACTGGAGTGACACGCCCAATCTTTTTCCCACGGAACCCTGGTGGGTTGAATAGAAACTACTTACATCTCAGCCCAGCTCATCACCACTGCACCGCCAGGGCTCCTGGCTCCTGAGGGAGGACCCAGGAAGAGACTACATGCTAACGACCATGTGCCAGGAACGGTATTTTGGACAACAGTGGTTTCGGGGTGGCTTCAACTAGAGTTGTCAAACCTTTGCACCCAGGCTAACCAGAGAGCCCTAGAAAGGGGATTATTTCTTACAAACACGGTGATGTGTCTTTTGTGGTATGTAGCGAGCACATAATCTGATTATAGATCCTCCCTATAGATAGAATTTTCAAAATCTGATAAAAGAGGAAGTAATTGTTGGACTCAGACACAATAGTGGTTGTGATATTGAATCTGGACTCTCGATTCTAGAGCAGCAATTCTCAACCTGTGGGTCCCGACCCCTTTGGAGGTTGAATGACCCTTTCACAGGGGTCGCCCAATTCCTAACAGTAGCAAAATGACAGTTATAAAGTAGCAATGAAAATGTTATGGTTGGGGATCACTACACATGAGGAACTGTATTAAAGGGTGGCGGCATTAGGAAGGTTAAGAACCACTGTTCTAGAGGGTCATTAGAAAGAAAACATAGGCCTTACCTGTAGGTTCTGTATTCTAAGTTAAAACTTCTTATTGGTATCTAACCTCAGAATCTCACCGGCAATATCTCTAAGTCTGCGCCATTGCAGCCCACCCCTTTATCATCAATGAAACAAGTCACTGATCACAAGGAAATACCTTGCCCAGAAGAGGTTCAAGGTGGTTACTTATCTTTTCCATCGAGCCTTCTTCAACCCCTCCAGCATCCATTCAAAATTCCCCCTCTGGATCCTTCTTCCTCTGTTATCCTCCCCAGTTTCATGAACGCCTTGGGGTTTTCTACCCCCCTGCCCCTGCAAGGGGTCCCAGTTCTAGGCTTGAAATTCTGAGCCTTGCTCCTGGCACCATGATATGATTGGGGACTGGCATGTCCTCACTGTTCATTTCTGGAGAAAAGCTTTACATCTTATACTTTGTTCAGAGTGGGCCATCTCCATGGTGCCCTCTCCACATTGTTGATGTGCAAATATGTGAACAAAGCTCCATCTATTTATTTTACCAAAGTTTGTCTAAATCCCCTGGGATACTGGGCTTGAGGTACATGGGGAACCTGGAGGGAGAATGAATGAGAGACTGGGAGCAGGGGAGGGGAGGGAGAGGGAGGAAGGGCAGGACCAAGAAAATCCCATCACATCCAGGTGTTAACTTCATTATCAATGTCCCCTGTTAGAGTGAAGATAAAATAACAGGCAGAGCTGGAGCTGCTATTAATAATTAACTGAGCCTGTCCCCTCTGAGTATCTAAGGGCCAGCCACCGAAGAAGGAAGCACCCACGGCTACATGACACTCCAAAGCCATCTTTACAAGAGGCTGATCTTGACATGGGTCTAAGTCACCTCCAGACCAGAAGTGGTGAAAACTTTTGTCTCAAAGGTGACTAGATTGATCACCGTTAGGGACATCTTAGTAACAAGAGTTCTTTAAATATCCAGAGCTTAGGAAAGGGGGCTGGAAGCACACACAATGTTATTGGTCTCTGTGGATCTTCTAAGTGGAAAAATTCACATTCCCAAGTAAACTAAACATTTACACCATGAAATACCTTCAAAGTTCATTTCCATTCCTGCCAGTCCTCCACAGTAAGCTTCTGATTGCGCTGAACACCTGGCAAAGACAAAAAGTCCAGACTAAAGCCCTCACCATAAGCCCAAATCTCATTTTCTTAGCAGCAAGTTGCTGAAACCGTTAACTGATTTTTAAAATATTTGGTGCAAATAGCACATGACAATTGACATGCAGTTGACCCGATTTGCTAATAAGCATTTAGCAAATAGTCAAATAATACTTGTGATTCAAAATAACTGCAAATAGGGAATTACGTTAAATATTTAACAAGTAACTGAAGAAACTTTCTCTAATAAAAAAAATAGTAGAAATATATGCTAGTAGAATATAGGTTTAATTCCCTTTTAGCCTAGTCAATAACCTTTCCCAGAAAGTTAAATTGAATATGGGATAGGCCTAATCAATTTCAGTCAGTGTTGGCTCTAACCCATTTTATCGTGTTGCCAGCCGGTTTCCAAATGCGTTCATGGAACGTGAAGTCAGAGCAGCAGACTCGTCTGAGGATTTGGGGGGACACGTCCTGGTAGAAACTGACTGAGAAATGTGAAGGAGGGTGCTTAGGACTCAATTAAATTCAG